CCAATAATTTTGACTCCTAAGATTACATCAACTTCTCCCAGATCGGTCATCTCAAATTTAGTGGACAAGAAATTGTTTGTTTTGTTAATGGGATCAATGTTAAAACTGAAAATTAATATGTCATCAACATAAAAAACTTATGATGACGTAATCAGTACCAAACATCCTCAAATACACATAAGCATCCAAACCATTCACAATAAAACCAAAACTAAGTATAGTTTTATGAAATTTTTTGTATCATTGTTCTCATATATATCTCCTCATCTAGATCTCCATTCATAAATGCAGTCTTAACATCCATTTGATGTACTCACAACTTATGAATGGAGGTAGTGCAAATAATGCATAGATCATTGAGATGTTCATAACAGGAGAGTAAGAATCAAAGTAGTCTAAAATAAACTTTTGAGTGAACCCTTTGACAACTAGCCTTGCCTTGTACCACAAGATCAAACCATCTGGTCTCATTTTCTTCCGGAAGATTCATTTTCTACAGATTGGTTTAAATCCTCTAGGCAAGTCAACTAATTCTCAAGTATGATTAGACATTATCAATTCTAGTTCATCATTAAAAGCGTTTTTCTAGAAACTAGCATCGATAGATCTTATAGCTTTTTTAGGATCCTCATATAACATTTAAGCTATATGATCAGAAATAGAGTCTAAATCATTTATCTAAAAAATAAAGGAAGTGGTAAAATTTGGTCCAAATAGTCTTTTACTTCTTCTAGGCTCGAAATTAATTTCTTGAGAAGACCTAGTAGGAATACTATAAGAAGTGGATAGAATATTTTCTATTTGAGTTTATGCATTTAATCTACATTTTAAGACACCCCCACATTTCTAACATTTTAGGATATCCATAAGTGTCTTGTAAAACGTGTAAACAAATACTCAATCATACTAGAGTAAAGTTTGTTATGAGTTTTAGCCATAAAACTATATTTTAACAAACTCAGGTTTTGTTTACACATAATTATATTCTCAAAGTTTTGAGAAGTTACAAATCATTAAGATTAAAATGCATAAACCATTATGAAATAGATAATCTCTTTTCTTTCCTCTACTTAGGAAAATCACTTAAAGAGATTTAATAGCTACAACACACTCTTAGTAGCAATAGTGTCTATCATATTTTCATTCATGATATTCAACATATTAGCCTTAAAGAGATCATCACATATTTATTTACTATGACTAAGTTTGGTATTTCACTCAACCAAATTAATCTTTACTCTTTTAACTTCCGCACTAAGTTTTAAGAGTTTTTATCTAGTCATAGTATTGGAATAGTGAGTATAGTAATGAACAATGCACCAGGTAGGTTTCTATGAAAGAGAGGTAGTGCACTAGGCACGCTTAAGTACCAAGTCTTCATAGAACCAATCCTAGACATGCACTTTCATACTCATCACACTACTTTCCAATAAATCATTTATGAATTTTCTCTTTCTTTAAATAAGATCTCTTTAAAGAATTATGCTTGATACTTTTACTCACAATAGTATCTTATTAAGCATATATATTTTTGGGCTCACACTACCACCTTAGCCTTAATAGTACTACCGTAGTCTTAATAGTGGTTTTTATCTCATTTCATAGTATCCACTGAGTTTTAAAGACTATCTTAAAGGCTCATGCAATCTAATTCATGTATTTAAAAGGCATGAATTAACATGCAACAAGTCTAAATAATCTAACCTCGCAGGTAGAATCACAATTCCAAATAGACTTGTTCACCATGCATACAACTTCTTTCTTTGCATCATCATTTTTAATCAGCATGATCCCAAAATCCATCATGACAATCACTTCATCTGAACCAACATCTCTTTTGTATCTTCTGAAGTTAAATGAAGAATATACATGGTTAGTCACGAAATTAATTTACTAACAATAATTAAAAAAAATATTGATAGTGACTAGATCCTTATCTTTAGGATTCTGGTTCCTTATCTTCAAGAGATTGTGGAAATCAAACTCAAATTTAACAACTATTCAGTTTGGAGAATCCCCTCGTTCAACATCATTACCTTCATGATTCTCCAAAATTACAACTGTTTTGTTATCTTTATAAATTTCTCAAAAGAAATTATTAGTATGATAAAATAGTTTATATTTATTTTCAACTTAATATTCAGAAGCTGAATAATCTTACCCCACATGAAAATAAATAGTTACACATCTCCACATGAACCAAAGGTTGTTCTCCAAGAGAATCAATTTCCATTATAATGGAGTCATTAAATCATAATCTTTATTGCACAAATATTAGCAATATATACCCATGTATAATAGCAATATATATTCATTAAAATGAGAAAATAGCTAATTCACCAATATATCTATGTATACACGTTAAAAGCAATAAATGCTTTTTAAAGCAGTAAGCACAATGAAAGCTAATATAGTATAAAGCTAATTGCTTTATACATGAAAGGAACCGAAATAATATTCATACCAACATTTCATGCATTATTATGCATTAAAATCCCCAATGAATTATCAATAAATATTGCTTTTATTATACTATTTGACTAGTATATATTGATAATAGCCTAATACCATTAGAAAGCAATAAACACACGTCTCCATTATCTTTTCAGTTTTGCAATATAAAGACAATTCATTAAAAATGTATTTTGAAAAGTAAAACGTTTCCTTGCTTCATAAAGCATCGACTAATTAAACGTTTTTTTTCCGTTCCTTTAGTCCATAAGACCTTATAATACCATTAATGCTTATTATGAAATCAAAATACTATTAATGTTTATTATAATATAAAATTTATAAATATTCAAATATTAATGGATTATAAACGACTGTTAAGAAGTGTTTAACAGCTATAATACTAATGTTTCCAATTCCATGCATTTTCCCAACTTTAATTCATGCTTTAAAGTTTCCAATATTTAAATGCAGGAAAACAACCTTGTCATGCATGTTTACTGTTGTTCTTAATTATTATAAATTAATCATGAAATTAAAGCATTACAAATTTCTAAACATTAACAACCACAAGTTTGTTACTATATTTCTGATCATGGCATTATCAAAGTACTGAGAAAACATGATAAATCAAGAGACTCACCGGAATCGATAGCCTCAATTTCCTTTCTTTAGATATTTTGGTAATCAATGCAAAAACATGTGCCCGTCATATCGTACTGTTGTCGTTTGTAGCAACAGTATATAATTCGTTTCTAAATTGTTGGTAAAATAGACTGCTGCAAAACGAGACATTAGCACTGACAAGAAAGATATATATTGAAATATATACATGAAGAACATATTAACCGTGTCGTGGTATTATCCACTGCCTTAGAAACAAATTCGCCCCGATGTGTGTAATCGCTGCAGTAGGCGGACCATCCCCCCGAGGTTAACATTGTCGCTCCAAATTCCATACACCCGAAACCGGAGTGGACTGCTGGTGGTATTGCACTTCTGATCGGAAACCACGGAGAGAACAACTTCAGAAAACACTTGGAGAGTGAATTCTAATTGTAGAGAGTGTGAGTTGAGAAGCTGAATTCATCTCTCTATTTATAGGCTAGAAGTAAGGGTAAATTCGTCCAACAAGAAAATCAAATTAAATTTGATTTTAATTATGAATTTAAACCCTTTTGTAACTCCTCTTGATGAATCTGGCTCAAAAAATAGTCAATGTTCATTGCATAAAAATTAAACAGTTATAACTCCTAAAATTAAATCATATAACTCATGTAACTCCTGATATTAACAGCTTGTCTCTCCCATGAAGAAAGTTGGAAATCAGTCCAGATACATCTTAAATTCTGATTTAATTTAGAAAAATAACTGTTTAATTTATTTAATTTCAGACAACTAATAATCAGCTGTATCATCTGAAATATTCGAACTTTAACAGTCTCAGTAGCCTATAAATATCAGATGAATCTTTCACATTTTTTATTTAATCTTTCAGAGAAAAATTCCTTACGAATTTTCTCTAAAAAGATAGTATCTATGTGGACGTATCAAAGACACGTATTACCACGCCTTGTTCTCTATCACTCAACAAAGGGAATGTAGAATGTAAACCTTAAATACCATTCCCACTAGTATTTCCAACTCTATGTGGGATTGAGCATTACCAACATCATGCTCTAGAAGTGTGTAATTTTGCACCTTAAATTTTCAATATAATTTTATAAAAGTTCACACCCCCGGTGAAAAATCATATGTCCGTCTCTGGCACTAGGTACATCGCAAACGATGGTCGGTGACAATCGAACAACAATGGAGAAAGATTACATCCAAGAGGACGAAGGTTAAACATTTAGGAAAATCTTATAAATAATAATCCTCAAAATGCAGTGTTTTGATGCTAGCATTAGACACTTAACAATCAAATGACGAAAACGAGTGGAATTCAAAAGTTTAGTGATGAAATTAATTTTTTTTTTAAATTTATTGCCCAAAACAGAAACAATGATAAAATTGAGTGGCAAAAAAATAGTTGGAAGTGGGAAGACAGGAGCCTCACATGAATATCCAAGTTATAAGTGAAGGTTTTTAATCGTTGCATGTACGTGAAAATATTGACAAGGTATTCAAGTACACGTTCAAAACTTTTTTAACCTATTGATAATGTACATACATTTTATAAATATAACTGTTTAAACTCGGGACTCTAAAGAAAACAACATTCTCCTTCATCATTGAGGCCAGTTGATGATTCAAATTAGGTCTTTTATATATGTATATATATATATAGTAATGCTAAATCTTGTCTGAAATGTTGAGGCAGACAAATCTTATCTACGCAACGAATCTTGTTTTAGTAGGTAAGCATCATCGTTGACAGGATAGGAATATGAACCAAACACGTACGTTATCTTTGTCTCATTATCGGACCTTTTCTCTTTTCTTTCTTCTCTTCCATTTTGGCACAAATTAATCATATTTTAAGTACATAATTTTTTTAGGTGTTCCATCTCAAATGGATCATTTTTATGGCTTGAGTATTCAAAAACATGTATGACGATGTGTTTGAACATATTTTGTGGATTCTCCAAATGCCTGAACCAGATATCGGCCGTATATACATATGGACAATCAGCTGCATTTTATTTATCTGTGTAGCTATTGGAGCCGGCTGCCTTTTGGTTTATATGACCTCCCCTCGTTCTCCATCCTCGGATTTCCTTCCCATTCTTGGTTTTGTCCTTGTTTGCATGCCTTGGCTGTTTTGGATCATAACAATATTGTATCGGATAACGTCGAGGGCCATCGGATTTAGGATGGTCGCCGGTAACTTGTACGGTAATAGTAGCGCTACCACCAAGAGTGCTGGCAACAGAAGCACCGGTGGTGGTGGTGGTGGTGGTGGTGGTGGTGATGGTGGTACAACTGCCTGTAATAATGATATCGATGGTGAGAAAATTCCTAATGTGGGTGCGGACCCTCGACCGAATTCTCCTAAAAAGGGTGAAGCTAAAAATGACGGGCAAGGCATCAAAAGAGGCACTAGGCCCTCCTCCACCAGTTCAAACGATGTGTCCATTAATTCACATGAGAGTGAAATGCCATTGTCCTCGTAAAAGGCATCGTGATTAACGTTTGGTGAACCATTTTCAAAATTGACCAAATTTTAAGAGGATGCATCATGTATGTATAAAAGGGCTGGGATCTCACGCCAAATTTGACAAACAGTTTTTTTATTTCTTTGCTTCTTAATACAAACACGTTTATGGAATATAGATATACATGTTTACGAGTGTAGCTTTTAAAACAACTCTAGTTGTTGTCTAAATTCAATATAGACGTAGCCATTTTGATATCTTTTATTGTTTTAGTTGTTTCCTGATTTTTGACTTGGAAAATTTTATTTATGTATGCTTTAGTAAATAGAAAATATCTTAAACACTGTTTGCCATTCCCCCAAACAAGCAAGGGAAAAACATCATGTTTTTCGTGCGTCTTTCACCGAAGACATGGGGGAAGTTGAAGAACGTAATTCCATGAAAAATGGCCATGGTGTGTATTTAAAAAACTTTACAGCGGCTTTCACCACATGGACGGAAAAATATGTGAAGCAGAATTGTTTGGTTTCGCAACAACAAAATAAGTATCAAACACTTGAACCAGCTGATCTCTTGCAAGCACATTACCGGTCCAAATCAAGTTGGGGCTTGGATTTCATCTCCAGTCTTCCCAAATTGAGTCTATGGATAGCAGTGGTGGTGGACATGTTCAATAAAGAAAACCATTTTACTGGTAAGATTGTTTTCAACATTGGTGGTTTTCAACTACAGCACTGTCATGGTTTTCCATTACAACCAGGAGAACGGTGTGACAATAATGTTGATACCCCCATCAAATAAAAAATCTCATCAACCCTAGGATACTTGGACATGACAAAGGTATTTTCAGTGTTGAGAACAGCAAATAAAGCAAGACTAGGCTCTATAAAGAAAATCGCCCTTAATATACCATAGCAACGATATCATCTCCTAAAAATACCTGAACTTGATAATGTTCTGCTATACTTGGCAATAATAGGAGAGCTCTTCACCAATTCCCATATCTTGGCTGAACTTTTTAACCACTCACGTTCTGATACATTCCTTGTAAAAGAAGGGCAGTTCATCGACAAAACCTGTGAACAACACTTGTTACAAGTCTGATATATATATATATATATATATGACTTACGAAAAGCTAGAATATTGAATGATCCTTTAAATGTGGGAGAAACAAAGAAGCAGGACCAAGGTGAATAGCCGCAGGAAGAAAAAAGGTACATAGAAAGAAAAAGGTGCATAGAAAGAGACCTGATCATGTAACTTCCATAGCGAGGAGACATAGCTTTCACACTGAGCTCTGGGAGAGTCATCTTTGTTCTTATTAGGGATCACAAATAAATCGAGCAACTCTTTATCTTTACCATTAATCTGACTCATAGCCAGCTGGTCAGCGGGCTTTTTTCCACATTTATGTCTCATAAATGAAGAGGAACTGAAATATTGTAAAAGCGCCTTCTTCATTTGGAGAATATTAGACGGAGAAAGTTCTTGATCTTGTAGCCTATAAACAATAAGACCACAGATACATAAGTTACTGTTGTGGATCTTTAACGATCTACAAGTAGAATAAATGTAACTTGTCTAGCACATTCTTATCAATATGAAAAGACAACAAAGTTAATGTAGCATTACATTAATGTAATAACCATCAGATCTGTTTAAGATAAAAAGTAAATAATGGAATCCCAACTTTTAAATCATGCAGAAAAACACCGAAACCAATTCACAAACCTTGCATATGTCAAGGTACAGAATATTTTTCTTAATAATATGCAAAGAAATAAGTGAAAACGACACAAGTCAGTAATTTAAGCAAAACTTCTAACAAATAATAATCTGCTATTAGCTCCAATCAGGAACTTTTCTTCTTTCTTTTCCTCTAATCACTGCAGCTATTGTTTTGAAGCTCTATCATATTGGGAATATTGCAGGGGACTCGGGTAACCAGAATCTTTGTAATGCTAGGGGACTACATAACTTTCTGATTCAGATTCTACTGCAGAAAGATGACTTTATGCGTAGCACTTGTCTGCTGCTTTTTGGATAAACAAAAGTTGCAATATCCAAAAGAAAGTAAAATACCAATAAAAAAATAATGGTTAATGTCCTATCACCAAGCTGTTAGAGAACCAACTTTTGAAAGCCTAATAGTTGTCTTCTTAATTAATAGCCACAAAACCCCGAGCATTGCCCTTTAACTTAATATGTAATAAAGGCAGCGGTGATCATAATATGTTCTAAGGGGGAGTGGTTATGCTGGTGGTGATAGACCGTGAGGGAGTGGCAACATAGTGGCAAGGGTTGCAGAGGTGAATACTATGGAAAAAGAGAAGTCGTCATCAGTCATGGATTGTTGACTGTGACATAAAAAATAATAGACATAATATACTACCAAGTTATTGTAAAATGATTCTAACAGAATCATTGAGGAAAATATAACGCACCTTGTATGCACAAAAACAGGAGTACCGATATACTCTTCGGCCTCATGAACTTTATCTTTGTTCTCTTTGTCAGGCCCCAATGTAGAGCTCTGTGAATGGAGAGGGGCTAAAGAAGACGGATCAGGAATGCCATGTTTCACTAAGTCAACCTGCAGAGAGAAAGATTAGTATAAACAAGATTTTGTTGCAAGAGTTCAAAACATTAAAGAAACATAATCAGCATTTTTTTTTTCTTTTTGGCCATAATCAGGTTATTTCTTTGGCATATGGAGAATCAAAAGGAGAGAATTTGGATTATATTCTCCTCTAATTAAGGGGGCATAAGATCTTAACTCAGAGACTTGCATGTTCTTTTTTCCTTTTCCCTTGTTCCTGTAGCTCATTCAAGTGTAAAAATTGCATTTTTCTCCCATCAGAAATCCAAATGAATGAACATAGGCTAAATAACAGAAACAGAAATGCCAGATATTTTTCTTCAAAGTTTCTAAAGTGGTTATCTTAGACATCATACGGTATTTCTAGGTATTAACTGGTCACCTTTTAGATGGCCAAATACCAACAAAACTCATGTAAGGAATAGAGAAAATCAGAAAATTACTGAAGGCTCTCTACATCATCATCTATCTAACCAAAATAAAATATAGAGCATCAGCCTTGAGGATTTCTTGATTCGAATAACAATCACTATTAGCGTACAACTACAAAACTGAAGTATAGAAACCAAATACTCCCTCCGTCCCACTAAATGTGTCTCTTGGTTTTTAAAATTGTCCCATTCAAAGTGTCATATTAGAAAAGTCAACAAACACAACATTATATTTTCTTTTTTACCCTTATATCTCACTATTTTATACCTATCAAAACAAATCTGTCAAATCTATCAATCACCTTTTAAGGATAATTTTGTCATTTATCTTAGTCAAATATATCTCCTAAAACTATATGTAAAGTCAATATCATACCTGTGTTTTAAAAAGCGCGCCTGAGGCGCTAGGCGAGGGGTTTAGAAGAAAGCCTCCAACCACCAAGGCGGCGGCGAGTACATGAGGCGGCGATTCAGCCGTCGGAGGCGGCGAGAGGAGACGGGGCGATGCTTTTAACGATTCACGTACAATGACCCATTTCAGATTGGGCTTTAAATTTCCTGAACATGTTTGGCTCGAACGTAATGGTTGTTCCTAGGAGGAAGCTTGTGAAGGACATGGTAAGGAGGCTCTTCCATCTGTTTTTTCGCTTTCATTTCTTTTGAGGAAATAGAGAAATGGAAGATTTCGGTGATGTTTAAAGGAGTTTTTAGTTTTTTCTTTCTTCTTTCAATGGCAGAAGTGGAGAGAGACGAATGAGATTTTAAATAAATGAGATGGTATGGGGAAGAAGAGATGAACCTGGACGCGTTATTTGCCAGATTCATTTTGTTTTAGGACTTGATTTGGGTTAGTGCTGCGGACTTTCTTTTAATATTTTATTAAAATATTTTATTGAATTTCAAAGATTTTGCTAAATGTCATAGTTATACAATAACTTTTAGGGTAAACTCATATTTAGTCACTCATATATTCCTGCAATTCCTTTTTAGTCGCTCAACTATTTTTTTTTCTTTCAAAATCATATCTAACATTAGAGGTGAGCAAAAACTTGACTCGAGTCAAAAAATTATTTTTTGAATCTACTTGAATTGACTTCGAGTTGTAATTTCAAAAACACGACTTGAAAAAATTTCAAGTTCAAATGGAGAAAATACAAATTGAAAACCTCGAATGGTAGTTCAAATTTTTAGTAATTAGTGGATTGATTTTCAAGTATGAGACAAGTCCCTCGACTCTATATGATATGTATATCACATATAAACAATATGAAGAAATATATATGTATTATAATGAGTCTAAAAAAACCATTTAAATTGGAATCATATAATATATTATTATGAATATTTACAATTAAATTTAAATAGAAACTCAAAAACTCGATTTGACTTGATAAAAATTTAAGTCAAGTTCGAGTTATAAAATAGGACTCATCAACTCGAATAACTTAATTTTTTTTCTTAACTCGACTCGATCGAACGTGTAGCCCTATCTAATGCTACTTTTGACTTTTCAACAGAGGATTCTTCAACCAAAGCACCCACCACTCCAAACATCACCAAAACATAGCTAACCAGTAGCCATCAAAACCACCTCTGCAATATTGTCTCATAAAAGTAGCGGCCAATAGCGGAATCATCACACCGACGATGTGATACATATGACATTTAGGCATTTTGATTATTGATGATGTTTTTTTATGTCTTTTTGAGATACAATATGACATATGCTACTTGGTGTTTTTGTTTATTAAGTTAATTATTAAGTTGTTTTGTGTTGAGGTATGGTTATAAAATATTTACAAATGTTTTGTAAAATTAAGCGCCTCGCGTGCGTGAATCCCTCGCCTCAAAGCGCTTCAAAAATTGAGGCTCTCGGGTAGCTAATCGCCTTGGAGCGCCTCGCGCCTTTTAAAACACAGTATCAGACACAAATAATGGGACGGAGGGAGTATTTTATATGAATTACCAATGTACAGACTACAAGC